TGATTAATTTATCATAAAATTATGTTCTGAGTATATCTATTTTCATATTAGAAGAGAATCGCTGGAAGGCAACAATTGTTAACCTCAAGTAGTGACTCATAAATGAGATTTTCATGCATCAGGGGAGACATATATTGGGGAGGAGGAGAGAGGTAGATGTGTGACTTCAAATCACACCATGCAAAATTTCCACATTATTTTGCTTTATTTAAAGTAGTCCCTGATTTGAGAAATTGTCCCCAAATTCTAGATAAAAAGAGTTTGGGGAAGATTGTTTAAAAAAATGAATGGACAGATTTAGCATCATCTTGGGTAGCATATCAAAGCTGGTGGGTCCTTTCCTTACAAGAAGAACCGCTGACTTAATTCACTCTCTGGTTCTCCCACTGGTGTAGCAGACACTACAGCATCAGCTTGTTCTGGGGTCCTGGTTCCTGACTTCGGTCATTCCCTGACTTCTGCTCAAATTATCTTTGCTCTCCAGTTTTGCCTTTCTGGTAGTATCCATTGCTTACTTCTCATGGAGCCAGTCTCCTGAAATTACTCTGGCACTGCCTGATCATCATCTAGGGCTCAAGCAGCTCTCTTCTGCCCCCTTCTGTCAAAAGTCTGCATGTGTACAGCTGGGCCCTGACATATGCAAATTCTTTCATTCAATAGTAATTTATGGAATGTCTATAAAGAACCAAGTACCATCCTAGGTGCTTATGATATATCAGTACATAAAACAGAAAAAAAAATAAACCCCTGAACCAATAGAGCTTCAAATAGGAGCTCCATGTCAGGCTGTTCCCACATTTTGAAGGGGACACTCATGCACTTTAAATAACACCTGTCAAAAAGAATAGCTATGCTACAAAACAGCTCTTTACCATATAGACTTTGATTCAAATTGGTTTTCTCATGGAACTTAGTCAATCTCATTACTAAACAGAGTGTGAAAACTGAGATATTGCTGTTCCACTGAGGACATGTCTCATAGCATACTCCAATTATTAAAAACATTCTGCCCTCTGTTACCCCCAGGTTCTACTTCATCCTCAGATTCAAATGAAGATTGAAAATATTTAAAAAATCCTATCCTTTCTGAACATGCAAGGACTTTTTTCCTTGTCACGATTTCTGTAAGCAGTACAGTATGACAGCTATTTACATAGCATTTACATTATATGAAGTATTATAGGTAATTTAGAGATGATTAAAGTATACGAGAGGATATATACAGGTTATATGCACATAATACACCATTTTATATAAGGTCCTTGAACATCCACAGATTTTGGTATCTACTGGTTTCTGGAGCAAATCCCCAGCAGATACCAAGAGGTGATTGGATTTAAACTTGTCATCTGCATTAAGAAGTATTTATCTTAGGTCAGGTTTCCCAGAACAGCATAAAAGATAGGAATCTCAGTGCATATAATTTACCAAAAAGTACTTTTTAGGAAAAAACCTATGAGACAGGGAGGGAAGCATTGTAGAGAAGGGAAGAAATCAACAAAGAGGAGGTCTCAGGTCAAGTCTAGCCTTAATTCCATCTATGGGCATCTCTGGAATGTCAACTGCCCCATGGAGATTTCCAACTGTCCAAGCCAGGTGGCTACTTAAGCAGAGGATAGTTCTGCAGAGAAGGGGCGACAGTTGGTTAACAGTCAGTACAGAAGCTGGGGGTGGATGCAGCAGCCAGGCAAAAGCAGTGAGGCTGTGGCACCAGCAGTGCGTTTCACAGAGCCTCAGGCAACCTGGTAATTTCAGATTCCATGGGATTGCCATAATGTGAAAATATTGCTGCCCTGAAAGATGGTCCTATGACTTCCTGTGTTTTAAAACATTTTTTTAAAAATGTCTATTGAGTTCCAAACACTGTGGTGGGATTCATATGTAGACGAGCATGGCACGTTTGTTTCATTAGCCATTACAGGGACGAGAAAGGGAAATGCACAGACCAGTGGAGATATGGAGGCAGTCTGAGATGATGTTGGGCAGAATCATGTACAGTACACAGTGGGATATGAAACGGGAGCCAAACAATTTCAGATGGTGGCTAGGAGGAGGGTCAAAGTTTCCTGGATGATATGACATCCTAGTCAATTTGTCTTTCCTGTGGTTGCACAAATTACCAAAAAAAAAAAAAAAAAATGATGGCTTACCAAAAATTTATCCTCCCATCTCTGGAGGCTAGAAATTAGAAATAAAATCATTGACCAGGACGTGCCTCCTCCAAAGCTCTAGGGGAGCAGCTTCCAACTTTCAAGGCTCACGGTTTTCCTAGGGTTGGGAGTTGTTTCTCTACAATCCATGCCCCCATTTTTCTCATGACATTCTCTGCTGTGTGAATCATCTCTTCTACCTCTCCTGAGGTCACTTGTCATTGGATGTAGGGACCATTTTGATACTTCAGGGAGAACTTGTCTCAAAATCTTTATCTTAATTCCATCGTCAAGGACCATTTTCCATACTGTCACAATGAACAGTTTCCTCAGGTTAGGATGTGAACATACTTGTTTGGGGGCCACCATTCAACCCAAAACATCACCATCAGTTAAATTGTGTCCTATCTTAAATGGAAAGCAGAACTGAATTTAAACTTAAAACCTTAAATAATTGATTGTAATAGGGATAGAAGCCTATAGGCATAAGCCCCAAATGCTACTGTTGCCACGTATGGCCACCTTTCAGGGTGCTGGCTGAGAGGTAAAGCTTTTAGACTTTCCAAATCTGAAGCTTCTTGTTAACTCTCTTTTCTTAGAAAACAGGAACTGCGCATTCTATATTAACTCTTCCAGTGGAGAAGACTGGCAGTAAACCCAAGCTGATTTCCCATCTCAGAAAGGCTACCCAGAGTGATACCAAGTGTCTAGATGGTTTTAGCCTATTTGCTCAACATCTGGTGAACCAACCATCTGGTCAGCGACAGTGGCAGGTGGAGTAGTAGAGTGGGGAGACTGTTCAGGAAGTAGAGGTTATAAGGCTTGGTAAATAATTGCTTGTGTTATTGGAGAACAGAGAAGACATCAAACCCTAGGTGAACAGAGCAAGATATTGAGAGTGTTGAACTAATATATTGACTCTGAAGAATCAGTAAGTAATTCATTCAAGTGAAAAAAAAAAACTCACTATAAAGTAATGGTTGATGGGTTTCTGCATTTGCTTGCCCCCCACCCTTCTTTTATATTACAGGCCATTGCTCTTTTAAAAGGATCCTAATTATCATCTTCTGAAGTTTTAGCTCAGACATTCTGCACAAGACACTTTCCACACATGACCCTTGACATCTGCGATTTTAACTCCATAATGATTTAAATATAAATAATATTATTTCATGCTTTGTCCACGTTCCATAATTCTTAATTTTTATTTTTTTAAAGAGATGTAGAAACTTCAATACATCTCCTTCTTTTCCTTTTCCTTTTTCTTTGTTCTTATAAACTCAGTCCTCAAAAATAAGAAATTCGTTTGTAATTTCTTTTCTATTCCTTCTATCTTACTCCTTGAATCTGTGAGAGGAGAAATGGTCTTTTTCATAAGGACGAGAAAGGCTATCCTCTCAACCCTTAGAAACAATGACATAATTGTATTTACTTACAAGTATGACATTGATCTACAACTTTGCACTCAGGGCTGCCTTTCAATGACTCTACTTTCCACACCACTTTAGCAGATGGAGGTAGAGCTAAGGCTGCACAAGTATGATATCAACCATTCATCAAATGGATAAATCCTTAATGTTGCATTCTAATTTTAATGTCTTTTTAAAGAAATTATCTTTCTATACTTTATATACTCTGATGCTGTATTTTGGTTTGAATATTAAACTTGAGATTATCACCAGGTCATGTTTTCATTTTAATAACACATGGGGGGAAAAAAGTTGAGTTTTAAGGAAGTAAAGATGGAGTCTGATGGAGTCCTTGTTGCATGCTGTGTGACACCACAGAGTGTATCCACTTAACTCCCCTCAGCAGCTGAGGAACTGAAGAGGCTAAGACTCCAGAGCTTTGATGAGAGTCTATTCAGTGAAGGGCCACTGCTAGTCAATAAATCCAATGCCTTACAATAGTTACATACTAGAGGAAATGCTCTGCTTCTTAAAGTAAGCATTTAACATGAAAATGATAACAGGTCAAATGTGGGCGCCTGAAAGTTCTTGTGCGTCTCCTCTGCTATGAAATGCTTGAGTCATTTTCCTGGTAAGAGTGAGCTCAATGTGAATGATATTTCTTGAAGCAGAAAAACATGATACTCCAAACTGATGTGGACTTGCTGTTTTCCTATTAATTAACATTCTTAAGTAACAACTGAAGCAAGTAAATTACAGCTGTCATGCATTCAAGAGGACAAAAGAAAAAAATCCATTTTCATCCCTAGGTCTTTGACATTTGTGATATAAATATTTTGAAACTGAACCTATAAGGTAGGTAATAAAACCAAAAGTAGACAAACATTGCATGCAAATAGCATCCTGTTCCATAAGATCAAGAGTAGGTGATAATGGGAGAAATTCTGATATCTCTTAAATAATTCTTGTTTCCTCACTAACAGTATTCTAAATTTATGCTTGAGAAAAATTGACTCTTCTAAGAATTTTCAGCAGAAAGAGTGTGTATTTTCCATGAGATTCCATTGTTTATAAATGAAACTGCACAGAAAGTACTTTCAAAACATAAGTTCTTCCAAGGCATTCACAGTCTTACAGCTAGTGTTAAATTGCAGTCCTCAATGAGTAGATACGACCACAAACATTAGTGATTTAAAACTATAGAGAAGGGGTCATCCAGATTAAAGTTCTGAGTGAGTTTAACTTGTTGTTTAATGGTAGCAATTGTCCATTCTAAAAATGATGATACTTAAATTATACTCATAAATAAAAATAACTTTGTACTTGGCTGAATTTTAAGTTGAGGTTTGTATCAATGACAAAGAAAAAAAATCTTCTCTGACTGTTCCACGGAAAAATTGACAATTAAAAAGGCACCCTAGCCTGTTTTAATTAATCTTACCAGTAAAGACGATGAGCCACCTGGATGCTTTGCAAGGAGCGGTGCAGTAGGAGTTCCACCAAAGGACTTTCAAGGTTCCATTCAAACTTGACAGCCTGCAGTAAGAAATAAAACCACTTTATAGCAGAACACAGAGGGACTAAGGAGCTTTGACAAAACTAGAGAAAACAACATTCAATAAAACAAAAACAACATTCCAATAAAGTGTTGATAATATATTTATATAAAATGCTGAATGCTTTTTAGTTGGTGTATGACTAATAACAGCACAACTTGGGTTTACATAGTCTTGTTTCCTTATTTATGCTTTAGGATCATAGGATAATAAATAAGAGCAAGTGCTTGGTGGAGTTCAATCATGCCCTGAGGCTGCAATCCTGGCACAAAAAATAATATCATGAACAGTATCTCTGGAATATAAAAAATGGTATTATTAAGAAATAGATATTTCTACGCATTTGGAAATAAAATTACTGAACACTCAAAGCCTCAACAGAAATCACTGACATTTCAGTATTAACCTGCAGACCTTGAAGTTTTGCTTCAAATTTCAAGGCTAATTGTTACTACCATAACATATTCCCAAATCCTTTCTTTTGTCTCCATGTGAACAGCTCTCTAATATGTATATTCACTCTGATAAAAGACATGGATAACCATGGCAGCCCCAGATGTCCTCAGGAACCTAATTCAGACCTGTACCTGCCTTCTGTAGGAACTATACCTGAATCCCCACCATTGTCCCAGCAATCAGTATGTGAAAATGAAAACCAAGTTCTCTTCATAAAAGTGCTCATTCCTGTTTGAGAGGCAAAGCTTCTACCTTTAGTTGTTCAATAAGCCATTTAAGTCTCCCTCCCCATTTCTCTCTCACACACACATATACACATTACACACACACACACACACACACACACACACACACACAGTTTGAGCCAAGTTTTATACCACAGTACAGAGAGCAGAAAAAAGTGGGTACTATATTAATTCACACACACACCTGAAGAAACACCTCAGACGCTAAATACCCTCAAGGATGGAAAAGTTATAAATTTCTGAGGTGTGAGAGTGCTGAAGATGATTTCAACAAATTTGCATAGCCTCCTAACACTGTCTGAATGCAGAAAGACATTAACATTAACTAGCCTTAAACTGCAGTCATGGGTTTTTCTTTCTTACCTGCTGATTAGGTCATGGATTTTGTTTATGCTCTAGTTGTAAACATATAATATGGGCATATGAGCAGGAGATATGTCTCAGAATTTACTTCTATGCTTGCCTTATAATTTCTTCCCATCACTTCTTCTTAAACACAGTAACTATTTATAGCTCTTGGATTGCCTCCCTTGCTTACAAACTCCTTGCTTTACTATCTACTGATGCAATTTCCCTTAAATCCTGTATCACCCATTTCAGGCGCACAACATATTATTTTGAACTCTGTGTTTGGAAGTTACCTGCATAGTTACATCCTATAGTTAATATTGACATCTGACATCTGACATCTAACTCTCCAGATAGGACAATATCTGCATTTTAAAACACACAAACAGCTGGGTGGTGATGCATGCCTGTAATTCCAGTAGCTCAGTAGGCTTACTTGATGCCTAGTTATGAACCTTTCTGTTTTCACTGTGGTCTTAGAGTTCTTTCTCTCTGCTTGAATGTAGTCTTCATCATTTTAGCATAGAAATCCATAACAAAATAACATGATTCCGGAAAATAGTCAACAGGGATAGACCTTAATGTGTTGAAAAGTTTTAAGATCAGGGTGAAACATTAAAGTCATATGGTAAACTTTACAGTGAATATTAAGAAATTCTTCCCAGTTTTTGTTTATTTTCTAGTCTCATATATTTCTTCCCATCTCAGAATGTTATGGGCCAGCCTATATGGGCAATGACGAAACAGACTCCATTTTGCCCTGAGACTTCATGTCATGTAAGAAATCCTTCTCCCATGGAAAGCCCCACATCTGTGTCCATCAACAGTTGCTCAGCAGAGCATGTTTGGCAACACAAAATGGCAATTCTTAGACAATGTAAAAGTGTTCTGTCTTTAGCTCCTGTTTTTCTTGGACAATGTACTCTCTCAGAGATTGATTGCCTGGATTTTAGTAACAATTCTTTAACTTGTACTCAACTAGGGACTTTTTGGCCCACTCACATTTCTGCTTATGATTTTAGATCTCATGATATTTGTTTATGGTTTTGAATCATAGCAACAGCCACTTATACTTTAATATGGTTTTGGACTATAAAAGGTAGACTCAAACCCTGGGATGGAGTCAAAGGTTATAGACTTGCAGCTTACCTATTGGCCCAGCAGCTGGTGGATCTGGACCACCAGCTGGTGATTTATTGCAATCTCGCCTTAACAAGAACATGTTGTAAACTTTACTTTTAATTAGGACACAGTTGCAGCTTTATTTAATTTTACCCTCTGTGTGTTTGCTATGTTGGATTCAGTGTACGAGTTTTCTTATAAACTTGATTTGCAGGAAGGTGGCTCTCAGAGAACTTCTGGTGTCAACTGTACTGGTTATGATGGGGCCATCAAATGAGTTTACTCTACAGGTACTTCAGTAAGAACGTACTATTTTCAGTTGGGTTAGAAATGATATGTAGCCTCTACCCATGAGCCATGAGATGAATAGTGATCTACAAGTTCAAACTTTTTTTTTTCTTTTATCAATACTATACTGGCAAGTTGAGGGAAGTACTATGAAGATTGGTAGGTGTAACTATATGGTTTAGCTATATCTAAACCAGGTCTCTCTCTTTAGGAGGACTCAGGACAAGTTCACGTACATGTGCAAAGTAATATGGCACTAGAGTTTATTTATAGGTGCTTTTCCATTTTCTTAGAGTTTTTTAAAATCAGTGGTCAAAAACTGAGGCACCTGGCATTAAAAATAACTTCTAACTCTCCAGATAGGACAATATCTGCATTTAGAAAACACACAAACAAATGGGTGTGGTGGTGCATGCCTGTAATCTCAGTAGTTCAGGAGGCTGAGGCATGAGAATGTGTGTTCAAAGCCAGCCTCAGCAACTTAGGGAGGCCCTAGCAACTCAGAGAGACTCTGTCTCTAAATAAAATATAAAAAAGAATTCAGTTTGTGGGTCAATGTTTAAGTGACTCTGGGTTTGATCACTGGTACAAATTAATTAATTAATTAATTAATTAAAAATAAACAAAGCAGAAAGACCTTTTCAGTCCTCTTAGAAAAAGATTTATTTGTGTAGTTTGGATTTTCAGTCATTTACATGCTCAATTGTAAAATGTTTAATTTAATTTTTAATCTTTCATCATATTCAGATATGTCAGACTCTTCTCATATTTCCTCATAATTTATATTCTTTTCTAAAATGAATTTGATATTATAATATTTGATGTGACTAAAATGTGCTAGTTGGCAACAGAATTTGGGTATTAGAAATTACTTCTGTAAGATTTATAATCAATCTTACAATTCTCTATGGGAAAGGCAAGAAGCTCATAAATTATTTTTTCCTCAATAATAGTCTTTAAAAATTTGTTCTTTTTAGTTATAAGTGACACTAGAATATATTTTGACATTTCATACATAAAATGGAGCATAATTCACCATTTTTGTAGTTGTACATGATGTGGAGTTACACTGGTCATTAATATAGGAACATAGGAAATTTATGTCTGATTCATTATACTGTCTTTTCCATTCCCATCCCTCCTACACTTCTCCCCACATTCCCAGCCTATTGTAAGTCAGTGTCCACATATCAGAGAGAACATTTGGCCTTTGGTGTTTTGGGATTCAATTAAGTCATCATCTGCATATCAAAGAGAATATTTGGCCTTTGGTTTTTGGGGTTCAACTTATTTCACTTAGCATGATTGCCTCTAGTTCCATCCTTTTACTAGCAAATGCCATAATTTCATTCTTCTTTATGGCTGAGTAATATCCCATTGTGTATACATACCACATTTTCTTTATCCATTCATATATTGAAGGGTCCCTAGATTGGTTCCATAGTTTACCTCTTGTGAATTGAACTGCTATAAATATTGATGTGACTGAGTCACTATAGTATGCTGATTTTAAGTCCTGTTGGCATAAGCTGAAGAGTGAGATAACTAGCTTAAATGATGGTTCCATTTCAAGTTTTCTGAGGAATCTCCATACCGCTTCCCAGAATGGTTGTACCAATCTGCAGTCCCACCAGCAACGTATGTACGTTTTCCTCCACACCCTCGCCAACATTTATTGTTACTTGGATTCTTGATAACTGCCATTCTGACTGAAGTGAGATGAAATCTCAGTGTAGTTTTAATTTGCATTTCTCTAATTACTAGTGATACTGAACATTTTTTCATATATTTGTTGACCATTTCGTCTGTGGTGTGTGTTCAGTTCCTTTGCCATTTATTGGTTGGGTTATTTGTTGTTTTTTAAGTTCATAAAGTTGTTTATATACCTTGGATATTAATGCTCTATCTGAGGTGCATGTGGCAAAGTTTTTTTCCCATTCTGCAGGCTCTCTTTTAATGTTCTTGATTGTTTCCTTTGCTGAGAAGAAACTTTTAGTGTGATATAATACTACTTATTGCTTTAGGAGTCTTATTGAAGAATTCAATACCTAAGCTGACATGACTGAGATTTGGGCCTATGTTTGCTTCTAGTAAGTGCAGGGTCTTTTGTCTAATGCCAAGGTCCTTGATCCACTTAGACTTGAGTTTTGTGCAGGGTGAGAGATAGAAGTCTAATTTCATTTTATTTCCTAACACCATTTGTTGAAGAGGCTATCTTTTCTACAATGTATGTTTATGGTGCCTTTGTCCAGTATGAAATAACTGTATTTGTCTTCTATTCTGTAACATTGGTCTTCATGTCTGTTTTGGTGCCAATATCATGCTGTTTTTGTTACTATAGTTCTGTTGTGTAATTTAAGATCTGGTATTGCGATGCACCCAACATCACTCTTTTTGCTCAGGATTGCTTTGGCTATTCTGGGCCTCTTATTTTTCCAAATGAATTTCATGACTGCTTTTTCTATTTCTATGAAGAATGTTACCAGAACCTTAATGGGAATTGCATTAAATCTGTTTAGTG